TATATGAATTGCACTGAAGCATACTGATGCTCGTCACAGTCCAAACTAATTTTACACTAATTACAGTTTAGGCAGGAAAAGTTGTTTTGCCAGGATGTGTCAAACCGCTGTGCTCCAGAAAGAAATTAGGGAGAAGGGGAATTTTCTAATAGGACTCTTGTTATTGTGTTTGCTATTTTTGTACAAGCCTGGCAACAAGTGCCAGTTTTCCAGGTTGTGTAGGAGGTAAAATGTGCAAGTGCTTGACTTTCTCTCCTCCTCATGTCTTTCTTTCAGGGCACAGGGTGAAGTTAGAAGACCCCCAGAAGATGCAGTTCTCAGACAGGCTGTCAGAGATCGAACGCTACCAGCGGAGTATGAGGATAGGCCCAGGAAACACCAATCCTCGCCAAATCCACCAACCCCACCTTGGCACCACACCAGGTAAGGAGGTCCACTGACATATACGAGTACAACCAGCAAACTTTCACATCTCTTTCGAAAGTACTAGTTGTGAAACTGTGACGCTGAATGAGTGTGTGTAGGGAAAATTCACAAACATAATTTGCTGTTACTTTCGTGCTGACCTTTATTTATGATTCAACTTTGACCCTTTTTATTGATAGTTTTAGGCCTTTGCTTGACTCTGAGCACACACACACACACACACACACACACACACACACACATCTGAAAAACTCAACATGGCTACATCTAAAAATACGCAAATCTTGTTGTGAGTAATTTTATTTGTTGGAGCCATTTTCTTCTACTGAGCTACACCCACAAAGCATCACTGTGCATCTACCTGTGACGGGAAGCTCGTAAACATTAATGGCGACCCACATTATTTAGCTTCATGACAGATGTAGATCAGCTGAAAGAAACGACTTCCTGCTCCTACTATCGCGATACTGTAGACAAAACAAAGTGTGCATATTTTTAACCGTGTTTATCTAATTTTCCACAAACATATTTAAGAGAAGAAAGTCATCTACAGCCCATATTTTCAAAAATGAGTTAGAAGGAAGAATATGTACACTTTAATTTGGCCCTTTAATGACTTAGAACTGAAAATCTCCTTTAATAAGCCGAACATATTTGGTTTAATTTGGCTGAAGTAATTGAATCTGTTCATATGTCAGCACAGCACACGCTGTTCACCTCACCCTGAGCTAAGCCAAGAGACTTTCATGTTCTCCGCAAACTTTCCTGAGGTCTGTTCCACTAATCTGAGAGCTGTTATGTGTTGGCCGTTCGAGGGGAAGCTCATGTCAGCTTTGTCCCCGGATGCCCTGCGCTGGTGGGCCTGGGCCCCACAGTGCGCGGGGTAGAATCTGCAGCCAGGTGGCACGGCCGCCGCTGCCAGCCGAGCTTGGCCAAGTTGCCGAAGCTGGCCTCCGCACACCGCGCAACTACAGCCTCAGGAATGTAGCAGCCTTCCGCTACCTTGGCAATCACGTCAGTCTGAGACTGTCCGAATGTGTAGGGGTGCGGGGGAAGCTGGGGGGAGAGCTGAGAGTCAGACAGAGGTGGTGCGACTGGAGGGGAGGAGGCTGTGTGTCAGCTGTGGACAGCTGCGTGGGTGAGGATGACTCTTCCCTCTCTGTTGGAGCCTCTTTAACAGGAAGCACACATGCCTGAACGCAAACTTCGGCCCACTCTCTGGTTCTCATGCTGGCTAATGAATCTCATTACCTTTGTATCAGCATGCTGCTGTGTACAGGAGGGCTTGTTTGGGACCTCTGAGCCGTGTGTGGGTGGAACACTATCAGTGTGCACACTGTTTGGCCTTGTGCTTAGCTTAGCCAGCGCTGACTCACCAGTATGGGGCTATCTTACAGCTGACTGCAGAGAACACGGGGTCTTTCACCCTTCTCTCCCCTGTCCTTACTTACTGTTGATATCGCTTTTGTTCCCCTGTACGGCGTGTACCCAGATGAAAACACGTCAGCCATTTTAGAAACACCAGCGACAGGTTATGCTGAAACTAAACGGTGCGGCTCTTCGACACAATACAGTCACTGTGATGATCATTTTCTGACGGCTCAGGGTTTGCCATGCGCACCGCAGGCTGCCTGCCAATAAAAAGACCCCTGCAGCAAAGCTCACACTTTAGGTTTCTGACTTGAAAAGTGGGCGGGGGGAGCGCATGGGCGGGCCGGCGGGGATGCACGCCAATCGGCGGGGAGGTGTACAGACACGGTCCAGACAGCAGACGAAGCGCTCGGCTCTCGTCTGCCTCACGCAGGATTAGGGCAGGAATTAGACTTGCCTGGCTTCAAAGGCCTGCAATGTTGCAACACACACATGTAGTCGGAGAGCAGACACAACACGCTAACATCTCTTGGAAGTGTCAAGATAAGTTAAAGGCCTTGAGCTTCAAGTTACAGCTGCCGGTGACTCGAGGCTGTCTATAAGAAGTGCATGTGAGTGAGACAGACGAGGGGAAGGGCTGTAAAAACCACACACCTTAATCTGTGGTATTACCATCGTGACGGCACACCGCAGGGCAAGAGTGGTAAAATAATTAAATAACAGAGGAGAGAGCCTTTCTCCCTCCCACCTCGTCTATCCGCTGGCTGAGCGGCAGCCCGTGGATGTATGTTGTGGCACGGGTCCCACAGAGCGGTCCCGTATGCGCAGGAATCGCGCACAGACAACAGCACGACAGCATTACGAGCAAAGCTCAAACAAAAATAGACTTGTTGTAATAAATCCCATCCAGAGACACAGGGAGGTGTTTACATATCAACAACACACACGTCTCTGCTTTTGACAATCCCTGCCAGACGCTGTTGTACTTTGCAGATACTTTAAGTCCCGAAGCCTGTTTGTTTGAGAATTGCCGAGTGATAGATCGCCCATCAACATGTTATAATTAAATGGATTCCCTTCTTGCTGTTACAAAAGATGTTTTCCATTATCCGAGGCTGGAACCTCCCCCCCCCTCCAACCCCGTCCCCTCTGAAGATGGCTACAAAAAGGAAAGCATAGTGTCACCCTCCTCCTCCTCCTAAAGCCTCCTTGCTTCATATTGTTGTCTGAGCCGTGAAATTCTGTCTCAGTCTGCTCGTCAACAGGACACGTCTGCAGACATCAGCTACCGCTGGATTCTTAAATCACACCGAGACAAAGATGATTGCACCATAAGCACACTGAAAATAAAGCACGCACACGCGCACACGTAGTTTCATTCTAGTGTTGCAAGTTCTCCGCTAGTGTCCCAGACAGACAGGGTAATTAAGAGCTCATTACAGTGCATGCAGTGACAGGATTCCTGCGCGCTGGCAGACGCTACACTCGCTGCTTGTTTTTGTTCTTCTGTGTCCACAGGTAAGCCTGCTAGACATGTGGAATGATTCTCAGCTAGGGTGGAGGGACTGTGTGTGCGTGTGCGTGTGTGTGTGTGTGTGTGGTTGAAAAATGCATGGTTCAACTCGTGCAGTCAAGCAAATCTGACACTCAGACAATCAAGTACTAAATTGTTATTCTGGTTTTCAAAACCTCAAGTGAGCTACATGTGTATACTATGTGTATCTGTGGGTGGCAGTTTTTTTTCTTCCCTTCCTCTGATACACAATGTATTCGACAGCATTTACAGTCTTAAGGGAAGCAAGCAGCTGATTGAAAATTTGATTTATATCAAAGTTAAAAGTGGAAAACAGATTCCAGTTTTACCCTAATCCGTTTTAAAAGCAGACAAAACTCAACAAGCCCTTGGCAGAGCCTCTAACAGACAGCCGAGAAGAAAGACGCTCTTTTAACTTTAAATGTGTTTTAACAGTTAGAGAGGCAGGAGGGGGAGAAAAGAAATGGAGCACCAATTTAATCATCCAAAAAGAAAGTCCTGGCACTTTTGAGGTGGTATCACTTAACATGTTATTTGTTCCAACACCTGTGTGTTCCTCTGAAGATGAATATCAGATACTAGCATAACGTTCCACCATCAAGTCAAGTGCTCAGGGCTTTGATGACGGCCCAAAAGTGTGTGCGTGTGTGTGTCTGAGTCATGTGGTGATGTTGCTGAAAAACTCGGCGTAATCTTCCAGATCTACTATATTACTCACTACATTATTTTTTTTTTTTTTTGCCGTATTCAGCTTTTACCCGGAAAGCTCTTGCCCGTTAATGACTCTTCTACAAATGTTGGTACCGCTGGCGTCACGCTGCACAACTGGCGCACATCTGCTGCAGCTCGGCTCTGGCGCGCTCGCTCAGTGCGTTCAGGCTGTGGCCTCTGAGTTGGAATTGACTCGAAAAAGTCCCATTTGATGGAGGACCGGCCTGATTCAGCCCCTCCTGCCTCGTCCACAGTGACCACACTGTTTACTCCACATAAACAAGCCGGCCGGCCCCCCAGATTCGAGGCAGCGCTCTGCTACTGCCGCAAACTGAGAGGCTCGAGCTAATTCACACATCCCGAACGACACGATCAGCCAATTAGAAGCAAGAACGAGACAGGAAATTAGCGCCGTCAGGTAGCTGTGGTGTAGGCTTTAGAGTATAGCCACCGCGCTCGTTGGGTTTCATGCAGACTTGTGCCAAACCCGAGCAGGAAGCTGGCCCTCTGAGGTAAATGCAACTAAAACGAGCAGGAACTGGAACAGTCCTTTAGACACTCTGTTTTACTTCTGCACTCCACTATTTACATAATATGTCAATGGCCACCACAGAGTTTATTTGTTATGGTGCCTGAAAGCTTCACTTGTGGTTAGTCTCTTTTTGTGACCCTGAGATGAATAATTCAAACTGAAAATGTTTCTTTTCTTCAACTGAGAAAAAAAAAAGCTCTTTTGAAGCCCTGGTGGGGAAAAAAACACAAAAAAAAAAAAACAAAGAAAAGGAGAAGTGAGAGCGAGATGTTTTTTACCAGACTCAACTGTTTGTGTAAGTTATAATTTCACATCAGAGCCGGGCCCAGTTTTACATTTCAGCAATTACAGAAACTACATGTGTGCCATGAACAGTCTCTATTGAGTCTGGGGAGAGGGGAAGGGCGGGCGGACAACGAGCCCTGAAAGAGAACATAGGATTTTTCAGCCCATGTGTTTGTTTTTGCTCACGTTATAAGTGAGGGCTCAAAAGACATATCAAATGTCCCACATAGCTGAGCCAAGGCCGTGTTCCTCCCCTCTCTAACACGCTCTCTTTCTCTCCCCTTCCCTCGCTGGCGTCTTTCTTTCTGTCTTGCTCGCTCTCTCACATTCTCTCCCTGCTGCGACGCCTAAGGCCTGAGCGAAACAGGAAGCCAGCACAAGGACCAGCATTCACTGTGTCTCAATGACACGCTTCATTACGGCAGGCGCGTTACATGTCTCAGAGGCGTCGCTAGATCCGGAGTCACGAGGATGGACGCCATTTTGGCTCTAACATCTTCTCAGCCTCCTCCTTTCATGTACACATGCACTTCAAAAAGCAGCACATGTGTGTGTTTATATGCGAGTCCTCTCCAAAACTACACTGGCACCACCCCAAAAGCTTCTCATTAGTGACGCGGTCGTCGCTTCTTCCCTGCTCAGCCAGCCACCGCCTTCCTCACTCCTCGGCTCCGCCCAGAGCTGAGGGGCGGCCGGCCGTCTTATTAACAGGGGTAATCTGTGCCTCTGGTATTGACGTTGTCTGCTGGCCAATCAAAATATTTGAAGGAAATGTTTATTTTCTTGAGCGAATCGCACCAGCTGCTTGCAAGCCTTTCTGAATAAGGCCATTTATGTTTAAGAATTTACCATTGTGAGGCATAGTGCAGGACCTCTCAGTGACTGAGTGCTGATTTGGGTCTTTGCAAAGGAAGTGGAGGAGCTCCAGGGGAAGCAGAGATCGTACACTAGTTAAGCCCAGTGTGGCTATAGGTGAACAACCCAGCACCGCCCTCCTCTCTGCCTCTGGCATCCCCTCTCCATCCTAATTGCCGCTACAGGAGGCTGGGAGAGGGAGGGTGTGCAGAGTCACGCTGAGGTTAGACGGCTGATTGATGCTGTCGTTAAAGGGAGACGACACGAGAAAAATGTAATACACGTTTTTCTGCCTGCATGTTGAAAATATTTACGCACATTTGATGAAAAAGTTTTAAACGGGACGTAGCACTATCCGGAGGCGCGCAGACTGGGCTGTCACGCAGCACATGTGCCGAGGCGCTCCACGCAGCTTCGTGCACGTTGTCGTGTAACAACTGCGCCGTCTCAGACCGAGAGCAAACAGCCAGCTGTTTGTGCTGCGGTGTGACCGTCCAGTGTGAAGCAGGGTCCCACGCGTTGGGCCAGTAGCTCCTCGACCCTCCTCGGCTTCCTGACAGCTTGGCTGGATAAGCTTCACAGGTCTCTCCGGTGTCTCGCCTGAAAGTCCCAAAAATATCTCATATGCACCCATCGAGCATGTTTTTCCAAGCTTGGTCTCACTGTGGTGAGAAAACCACCCCTCCTCTTCCCAGCCTTCACTGCTCAGTCAGCAGAGACCGACCTGTGACAGGAAAACATCTCCAAATGTCCAGATGTCAAGACGGTTCTGCCCAGTCTGTCGAGAAGGCGTTTTTGGATTGTGTTTTAGATTGCTAAGGCGCAGGCAGTGACCTCCTCACCCTGTACACGCACACAACTCGTATTAATTCCCAGAATTGCTCTACTGGATTGTTTATAAAGCCCACATCCTCACATATTGCTTGTATTTGTGTGTGTTCTTGCAGCCCTGTGGCAGGAGCAGATGGACACCCCCACCCTGAAGACCTGCAAGGTGGAGGAGGACCTGAGACCATGGCCAGGTGAGACACTGCAATGCGCTGCTTTTTTTTTTACCCCACACACTCTTTTCGTCTCTTGGCTTTCAAGGTTATTTTTATAGCGCTCATCAAAAACCAGCTTGACAAGGAGGTTTCTAAAAACACATTATATGCAATAAAATGCCGTCATACAGAAAATTGTACGAGAACAGTTCGTGCAGTCTCTGAAATACTAAAAGGCAATCAACAGTTATAGATCAAATATAAGCAAATTAAATTAAACATATTTAAGTCAAAATCAAATCAGAAACTTGTCTGAGTGTCTCAGACTGCACACTGGTTGGTAAGGGGAGAGACGTTTTGATGTGTTTAGTAGGTCATGGTTGGTTCTTGCAAGAAGTCTCACTATTACACTTCATACTTGATAAAAGAACTAATTTAACTAAGCATGAGACTCTGTATTTATTTTAGGATGTTGTTTATGCATGACGGTGTCTTTGTGTGTGTGTTTCAATTTGAAACCGAGGGTGTTCGCTAGTTGCGAAAAAGCAGCCTGAAGGGTGAAGTCACTAGTAAGGACTTGTGTGAGCAAGCCTGCAAAACACAATGAAGATCGCTTTGAATATAAGTCTTTAAAAACATCTCGCACTGCTTTGTTTTAATTAGTAAACGTAGTTTTTCCAAACTGAAAGAAACAAGCTGGAAAGGGTGCGCCAGCGTACCAATGATATTAGAGTCTGTTTCATTTTGCCTGTAGGGCCCAACTACATCACACGGCGTTCCCGTAATGCCACCATCCTTCTCACTTTTTTTTTCTTCATTGTCTTCCGCTGCCTTTCCCCCTTCTCCTTTGTTTCATTTGTATCTTGGCGATTTTGATTAAAAGCCCTCTCAGTCTTGCATTCTCCTACGCACAACCCACCACTCCACACCGGACGTGCTGACTCATACGCTCACGCTGTGACGAAGTCCCGCATTCAGACACAAAATGACTTTTAGATTTAGCACTGCACGCTGGCTCTCTTTTCTGCATTTTATCAGATACAACGCAATGTCTAAAGAAATGTGTCTAAGCACTGACACAGCAGAATTATACGTGTTTGTTGGCGTCTGTGCAAAGGCACTCGGGGCTGTGTGAGAGACTGGAAGCGGCAGTGAGAAAAAAATTTAACAACAGCGATTCTCATGTAGCTACAATCCCAATGACTGGTTAACAAATACATCACACAAATCGCTTTACAAGTGAGTATCGTATCTCTCGCAGAAAAAGATTTACTTAACAAAAAAATATTTTAATCGCGTCACCTCGTGTGTCGACGCATTAGGGAAATCTCAGGGTTTTTATAATCACAAACTTCTTTTTCCCTTGCTTGTGTTGCATGTCACAAGTTGAGAACATGCAAAATCCTCCGCGCTCACATGATAAAGTGCTAACGTGGATGAGGCTTTGGGGCTGCCGACCGTGTTGCCACAGTACAGAGGTGATCGGTATTTGCATCCGACATGATGCTCCGGCTCCACAGCCTCGGCGCTTAAATAAACACCTGGAGATCATTTGTGTTCATTTGGGTCTCCTATTCTGCAGCACCGGCCCTGCCGTGGCGTTACGTTACCCTGTACTCGTCGGCCAATTATCAACAGCGCCTTCTCAAGCTAATGGCATCCACTGTTCAAACCAGTCAATAAATCAACCGGACGCTTTCTGCTTGTGAAAGGACTTAAATCCCTTCTCGGGAGTCCACAATGCAGAGCAGCTGGGCCTTTTCAGGGATTATATCAGAGAAAAAGATTAGAAAACATTCTTATTACACAGCACAGTGGCTCTTTCCAGCCCGGGCTTCTCTCTTTTTCCTCCTTTCACTTATTTGCCTGAGACACCCTTCCCTGGGTGCTGGCCGTCACAGTTTGCATCAAGCCTGAGTAAACATTTCACAGGTGAACGCCTGGATTTGCATCCCCCCCATTGTCAGCCACCACATTCAGGCACACGTGCATACACACACACACATTAGCCCGTGCACAATTACACACAGAAACGTGACCGCCTCAAACCTGCCCTTGTGTTAACAACCAAAATCTGTTTCTCCCGTATGCAAACGAGACAAACCTCCTGTCATATCTGGGTTACACGCTTGAGTGTGGACTAGAGGACTTCTTGACCTAAGCAGAAAGGAGGAGGGCTCCACCCTTGGCACTGCAGAATTCAAAAAGAGCATGGCGCTGCACTTCAGAGCTCATGCTGGAACACCGTGTTCTCTATAAAAGCCCCGATTCCCAGCTACCCGCTTTATACACTCAGAACATCACACACTGTGCTAGCTAGGCCTCTGGGGTCCATCCTTTATCCTGTCCCTGCAATTTAGTCAACACGTTTCAGATGAGCCTAATGGAGATCATGTGTGGTTTTGTGCCGTAGAGGTTACAGGCAGCGAGTACTCGGCTCAGTTAGGAAGACCCTCTCTGCCAAAGATACACCACCGTTACCACAGCCGCAGCAGCAAACCCTGCACTTATGTTGGGTGGGGGAGGGTGGGGATGCAGGAAGGTATGCAACGCAGTCAAGAGGGAGAAAAAGCAGACTGCAAACTTTGCTTCTCAATTACAGGACACTTTGTTTAGCCCTCTCCTCCAGAGGGAGCTACTGTACTGTACCAGACTCCTCAGGGCTCCCAGCCAAAAACCTGAGACTGCATAAGCCCATTAAGGTGTTGTGATAAGCGTCCAGTCCAGTTTCCCCTGACGGAACACAGGAGTCGATCCCCACCGCAGTTTGGCCCACACATTTCCACCAACTTCAATTAAGCGGAGATCGTGGGCGGCGTGGGCGGCGTAGGCAGCAGCAGCGAGAGCTGTCGTGTCCCCAAGCCACAGAACGCCTCCCCGGTTTCACCCCGAAGCCTAAATTTAGCACAGAGTGGGACAGATGAAGGGACAGACAGAGAGAGAGAGAGAGACGGGGAGAGGGAGCAAAAGCTTTTTGAGAGTCCGGTAGGAATTAGTAGGCTGACTCCACTTCACCCGAATCAACAGCAGCTGAGGGCTTGGATTTTCCTCGCGTGAAATCAGATACGGAGCTCGACTCCTGTGCCTGGTAGACTCTGGAAAAAGAAACAGCCCCCCACCACCACTACTAACTCCCTCATCCCCTCCCAAAAAAAAGGAAATTCAACAGCAGCAATGTGTTGCTGAAAAAAAAACAAAGAGTAAAGCTGGGGCCATGGAAATTGCAAAGGAACTGATTTTTTTGCAGCTGAAAATGGACCCTCTTCTCCAGACACAGGGAAAAGACATTTCAACAAGACCGTGGCACGCAAGTTTGGCATTCTCCCCCCTCGGGGCTGTGGCGTGCAAGCGCTTGCTATTTGACAAATACAAGCTTTCTTTTCTCTGCCATCCAAATCCACATTTTACACTTGAAGTCATGTGGGCACACTGGACCCATGGAAGCCACACGCAGACAAACAAATAACCACGGGCGTACACAGGCGTGGGCTGAGCGCATACTGTAGGCTGACATCAGGTGTGAGGAACACTCACTAGTCTTTATGGCATACAACCAGGTCAAGGGCGTTTGTTCTGGCTGAAGGCCACCTTATTGGAAAATATCAGAGTATCATGAACACAAAGACTCGGCGCGGTCAACTTGCCAAGCAACACTTAATATTTCACACCTTTACCTGGGAATTTAAAAGTGTGTCTGAAGCCAGTAAAACCACAACAGTAGCAGGTAATTTTCCCAGTGTTAGCATTTAGCTTACATGCAATTAAAACAAAGTGAAAATAAATCAAAGGTATCGTAAGTACATTAAGCAGAAACTTGGAAAATAACTGGTGCTGTACTTGGACTGAAACACAAATACTATCGGAGGTGTCAGTCGGCAGCTTTCATAAATCTGTGAATGGGTTCGTTTCCCAAGCTCGGGTGGTGTAAGATCAGCCAATAGCACTCCTTAGCTGAGCGAGGAGGGAAATATGGTGTTTGAGTTCCTTGGTGACAGTAGTGGCATCAAATCTCAGAGCAGCAAACCGCCAAGCCGAACCCTTCAGCAATATTTCTATTTCCCTTTTGCCAGCTGAATAAATGAGAAGGTGTGCAGTGAAATGGCAGACATAGCAGCCTGGTTCCACTGTGCTTCGTTACCTGTGAGATTACACTTGGCAGCGACTCTGACAGGTCATTCACTGTGATACACATTAGTTTAGACATACACAGAAACACAATTTCTCTTCCTGCGTCCCCTCCCCTTCTCTTTCTCTCTGACCGTCTCCGAGTGTGACCGTCTGCCTCTGCCACCTAAATATGATTTATGACAAGCCGCACAACAGTGCAGCGAGCTGTCTGTGTTTATACAAAGCACCCCTCACTACAGACAATGCCTCTTTTCATTGCTCTGAAAAAGATAGAAAACTGTGCGTTGCGTCTTTTGAAGCAGTGGTGGGAGGGCTGTGGCAAGGGGGCCTTTTCATAACTTCAGTCTTGTGCACGGGGCTGTGGGATGATGTGCTGTCAGTGCTTGATGACTGTTATTAAGCAAAGAAATGTCTCAGTTCATTACTTTGAGCAAACATTTCCATGGACCGGTATATCGCAAGAAACTTGAGCTCAGAATTGGGGGTCTGGGGAGATTTGCTGCTCTGGAAATGTGGGTCTTTTTTTTCTTGCGAATAATAGAAAAGAGAGATCTCTGAGTCGCTGGTTTCATAATTGCAAGAGCAGTTTGAATGTTTTCTGGCTCTTTCCAACCTTTTGCTTCTCTGTTTTTATAACAGCGACTACAGAGCTCTTCCCGCAGAGGACCACCTTCCCGTCTCTGTCACCGCTGACCGACCCTCGCTTCTCAGATCCCCGCATGCACTACCCCGGGGCCTTCCCCTACTCCACCAACACCTCCAGCACCGGCATTAGTGGCCTTAGCATGTCAGCCTCTACTAGATACCACACCTACCTGCCACCACCCTACTCAAACAACCAATCCCAAAACTTCCAGTCCAACTCTTACCTGTATTATGGCACAGGCTCTGGATCCTACCAGTTCTCCATGGTGGCTCCAGGGAATACCGGGGGCGAGCGCTCTCCCACCCGCCTACTGTCCTGCTCGGGGGCTACAGGCACCGGCGGGACCAACAGCCTGATGAACCCGGGCCTAAACACCCAGAGCGAGGGCGTGGAAGCCGACGGCAGCCACAGCAACTCCCCCACAGCCATGAGCGCTTCGGGTCGCTTGGATGAATCTGTCTGGAGGCCTTACTGACTGACAGACAGCTAGACAAGAAGAGAAGGAGAAAACAAAGTAAAGAGGATGATGAACAAAGAAAAAAGAAGCTGAACACTGAAAGAAAAGAAGAAGAAAAAAAAACAAAAAAAAGAGAAATGCTGCATGTTTGTCTTTTATTTCTCCGGCACTCGCTTTAAAGACCTTCTGCTTTTACCAAATCCCCCAAGACTTCTATTTGTTTTGTAAATTCTTGAACTCCTGCACTGTACCGAGGTACCGTCAAAGAACCGGAAAAGCCATACGAGCTGACGCGTTACTTGGCAGAGACTGTAAACAGAAGAGAGAGTAAAACGAGTGAAGCCGCAGTAATGTGCCGGCCTCATTTGTCTTGTGCAAACAGGTACTCATCAAAGACAAATGAACAAAAGGCGGCGGAGGTGTGATCAATCAGCACAGCTGACGAACTGAAAAACCGCAGCAGAAATCCCTCAAACAGACCGATCCAGCTCACTCGGCGGGTGGAGGAGAGAAGTCGGGCTGGACTCCTGCGAGGCATGGCTGCACTGCTGTAGCAATCCTTCCTTTTTAAAGCTTTAATTTCTGTCAAATTTCAACATTGTAAAAAATGATTGAGTCAGTTGTGAAAACATTGTCAGTTGCACCCAAGGCTGTTTCGTGCGCTCACGGTGGTTATGCAGTACCTTATTGCCTAATTTATTATCCAAATGGACACATTAGCGTTTGGAGCCACACTGCGCAGTGGACGTTTCGACACAACTGCTGCATTATTGAGAAACAAAAGCATTTTACATGTCACGTTTTTAGATATGACTCCTCCTCTGCCGCGTCATCAGTCAATCACGCTTCAACAGGACAGTGGCTGATATTTCAAGGAATGTATAAAGACTAAAGCAGAGGAGGGTTTCTTGGTTTTTTTGTTTTTCTGTAGGAGTCCTGTTGTCTCTACTCTTTACTTTTCCTTTGATGTTCTTATTCAAGCCCTTTTCTAAAGAAAAAATAGTCCTAGTCTGGTATTTTTAAACTGGATGAGACAGTTTACCTTTCATATTTATTTGAGCCAAAATTTGAGGAAATGTATGCATATACCCCAAATCCTTAAGCATTTCTCTCTGCCTTTCCTTTTTTTTAATATAAATATATATACAGTATATATACCATGTTTTGTTGTTAAGTATAAATTTGGAATTTGTGTAATATATTGCTACTAAATTATAAAAAAACCAAAACCTTTAATGTAATTTTTTGCCTTCCAATGTAGCTTTGATGCACTAAAACTTTTATTCCTGAGTGAACAGTGCCCAACAGCATCTTCTAGAGCTGTAAGCTTTTAAAAAGAGTTCCAAAATTGCCTTTCTGCGCTTAAAAAAACCAAAAAAGCCATTTGCTGAATTTTTTGCACTATGTTTGAACTTTCATTTCTCTCTTTATTTTTGGGTTTATACATTTACAAATATCCAGAAGTGTGCCGAACTAAACATGGATAGATATATAGACATCAACTTAAGTCGCCAAATCATTTCGTGATCAGACACACAAACACATTCCTGCACCACAGGTGTGTGTGCGCATTCCCCCTGTCCTGGGAGGGCCTTTCCCCTTTAGCTACACATGTGATCCCGTGTTTCCATAAATTAGGAGGAGAGGATGAAGGGATGGAGGAAGACAGGTGGGGTCAAAAGGGGTATCTTCTTACAAAACCAGGGGCAGTTGAAAAAAAAACCCTCTGTTGTTGTGCACCGGTCCTTTTGTTCTAAATAATCAGTGAGTGCTTTGAAACCTTTTATGGCTCCCAGTCTAATTTACTGTCAGTGCCAGGGGGTCGTAGCTCCGCCAGCTCTGCCTGCACACATCGCCTTGGCACGAGGTGTGCTAAAGATATCTACAAGAAGTATCAGGTATCCAGTATTTACCAGGAAACTCTTTCACAAGAATGAAGATGATTAGGATTCATGACTTTGAAAGTTGGCGGCTCATGTGATAAACAAGTAAGCTTTAATGTCAAAGTGAGAAGTGATCCAAAGAAGCTAGCATTTGCAGCTCAGGTAAAGAAAAAAAAGTATGCAAGCTGTTTTGTATGCCCTCTGCCTTATTCCTAGTTTTTTTTCTAAATGACAGCGTCTCATTCCCATCTCCCTTTGGCCTGGATGTGCCTGAAAACCTTACTGTATTATAGGCAAACATCATGCAGCTAGAGAAACCACCTACGTACTGAGATTTGTGTGGTTGCTTCAAACACAAAAAACCAAAGATCTTCACAACTGCCTGTAATACTGTTTGGATGTTTTCGATGGAGAAAATGTGTGGCAAAAAATATTGTTTTTGTTTTTCTTCTGCAAACAAGCCCAAGTGTGCGAGTAAATCGTGTTTTTATTGTGTGTTAATTAAAGAGCACAATGTTACTTTTTTTTAAACAATCCCTTTCCAGCAAAATGTTCCTTCATCTTGCTCTCTCCATCTCTTTGATGCTCAAAGCATGTACATCTGAAACTGGTATGTTAATTTAAAAAAAATTTCACCATGTATGTAATGATATCGATAATGCTTCTATACTGAGTGCTTGTAAAGTTTGCGATAATGTAGTTTTTATTCATTTTAATTAAAAAAAAATGTGTCTCACTTTTGTCTCCAAAGCTGTTTTCTTTTGAAGGATAAGATTTGTAAAACATGGCCACACTTCATGCTCACGGCTCCGCCCACCCACTTGTGAAACCTTTTGTTTACAGGGAGCAGCCAATCAGAAAAAAGGCTCAAAGAGAACATAAAAATAGAGCCGACAGGCTTCAGCTACTTCAGCAGAGTCCAGGAATGAACCATTATAGCCCCTTCAAAGGAACTCTTGGAGTGAAATGAATAAATCACACCTAGGTTAGATTAAAGTTGCATATTTATGGCCACATTCTTTGAATTTATCTGCTTAATTATAAAAACAATAGCACAGTGTAGCAGTACTCCTAGGCTTGTGAGGTGTTGTAGTTTAACAGGGCGAGGTGTTGAGAGTTAAAACACGGGGGGGGGTACATTTTTAAATCATCTCCAGAATCCAACACACCATCACATCAGCTGAGAAATGAAGAAGGAAAAAGAAAACCCTCGTAAACATCCATGGGACCCGATTCCACGCCAGCACATTTCTGTACTTCTAACTTCTTCGGCTGGCTCACACAGAAAAAATACCACGAATGCCACTGTTTTCATCTCATAACCTTACATTTGCTGGGTTGTGCCCAGTAACCCTCTAATAATTCTCCTCCTCTCTCCCATTAGCGAAACTCTCGCTGGCAATTCCTCTCGCTTCCCAGAGGTTTGAAAATGCCTCAGCTGTCAGCGCGGTGGTACCCTGAGCGTAAATAAAACGCTGCTCAGGAATCCGACACCACCCTGGCAGCCTCCATGTTAGCGCACGTCGGCAAGTCGTCACTTGTTAAAAACAATACAGAAGTTTGGAATGTCGGCGGCCTTTTTTAACCGACGGCGCGGTCGTTAATTTACACCGCGCCGATGCCATCTGTTTGCCCCATTTGAAGCCGAGCCATAAGATTAAACACTTGAGATGCCACCTTGCGGGGTGGTCTGATTTCAGATGTGGTTATCCTGACACCAAATACCCACAATGCTTCGCTCTTTAACTAATGCCACCTGTTGATGTGCCATGAAAGGCTTTCACTTTGTTTTTCACTAATTTTTCACTCTTTTATTTCCTGTGTTTAGACGCTTGCATTTTCTCTTTCTTTGCCTCTTTCATCCTTTCTTCTCCTTCAGCTCTCACCTTTCTTCGCCTTTGTGTGGCTTCTGCTGCATGCGTGTGTCTGTGTCAGGCCTTCTATGGCTGGCAGAACAACAGAGCCTCAGGATGCACACATGCAGCCTCAATACACACTGCATTCAATTAACTCTGCACACTCAAAGCCTTTCCACGCAGACACACACAATCCCCCGCTGACAGATCTCGCACCAGCCCTCCACCAAGACGGTCTGAGCTCCACTTTACAGTGCGAGTTCACAACAGCGTTTCCTCCAGGTCTCATCACAGAGAAGCGCTCTGCCTCGCCCCTCGCTGATCCCCCACCACTCAGGAAGCACAAAGAGAAAATGATAAGCTTTCAATTAGGCCAGGCTCAGGGGAATTTTACAGCTGTCTTCACACACTCTGTGAGACCCGACTCTCTTGTCCACATGTGTGGAGCAGAGAGGCTCTCATCTGGCTCTGCCTTAGTCGTGGATGTACACGAGCAGAGCTGCTTTTTCATCTTCTCTCTGTTCCTGCAGCGCTGCTGCTCCTCTTCCGAAAACTGTAACTCTCCCGGAAAGAGGGGAAGCGTTTGCCTGGATCAGGCTGCCTGTCTGGATGTGATTGTAGTCAAAAAGCATGATGAATTGGTGTATAGGACAAACAAAACCACTTTTTAAGTGGGTAAAGTTGAAAAAATAGACGCATAACTTGCCCCATGGCGATAGAAAAGAATAACTAACAACTGCTTTGTTTATTCTGTCTGTTGCTTATTGGCCTCCAGGATTTTTCATCTTTATTCAAAAGAAAGATGATAAAACACTGAACTGGAAATAAGACACAAACAAAGCGAAACATAGAAAGTTTCTCATGATAACAGTATCCGCTGTCGCTTCTATGATACCTGCATGCGAAACCAATTACAGCCTCTTCTGGAGCCACTAACAACCTCTGCCCTGAACCCGTGAGAAGCAGTGGGCCTGAACCGGCTTGTTTTGGGTGCCTGGTACGTTGGCCAGCAGTCTATTTTCTAACCAGACTGGTGGTGGGAACAGCAACTACCGTCCAAAATCAGGGTTCCCACAGATTGACCGAGGAACACAGGGGCCAGGGGCTAAGAAACCGCGAGAGCTGTGATGCAACCATTCTCACACAGAGCACTGCTTTGCTGATGCAGAGTGGGATATGGAGGGAGAGATGAAGAGAGAGAGAGAGAATTCTCCTAGTTCAGAAGGATCCCAGTGAAGGTAGTTTCTCATCCATGCCGAGTCTACAGAGACTGATCTTTGGAACCGGGCGACTCCCAGTTCCCACAGTGGAGCACCTCTCTGCGGGGCTGTACTGTAGGAGTCGG